ATTTTAGAGAGAGTGGAAGGGGGGGCGGTGAGGAGGTGAGAGAGAGTGAGGGAGGGATGCCAGTATGAGAGAGACACATTGATTATTTGCCTCCCAAATGACACTGATCAGGGCTAGGGATCAAACCTGCAACCCAGGTACATGCCCTTCACTGGGAATCGAACCACTGAGCAACACCAACCAGAACAGATCTTCCTTGCTTCTTTATGTAAGTGTTTATCACTATGAACTTCCCTCTTAGAACCGCTTTTGTCGCAGCTGGTACGTTTTGGTATGCTGTTTCCATTTTCATTTATCTCAATATATTTTTAAATCTCTTTTTTGATTTCCTTTTTGGATCCATTGGTTGTTCAAGAGTATGTTGTTTAATCTGCACATATTTAAGAATTTTCCAACTTTTCTTCTTTTATTAACTTCTAGTTTTATACCATATTGTCAGAAAAGATACTTGATATGACTTCAATATTTGTCAATTTGAGACTTGTTTAGTGACCAGTCCTATGATCTGTTCTGGAAAATGTTCCATGTGCATTTGAGAAGAATGTATATTCTGCTGCTATTAGATGAAACACTGTGTGTATGTCTGTTAGGTTCTTTTGATCTAAAGATGTTCCTTTGATTTTCTCTGTGGACGATATATTTGTTGTTGAAAGTGAGACAACAAAGTCCCTTACTATTATTGCATTGCTGTCTATTTTTGCCTACAGATATTTTAATATTTGCTTAATATTTTTAGGTGCTGTGATGTTGGGTGCATATATATTTACAATTATTATATCCTTTGATAATTGATCCTTTTGTCATTATATAATAATCTTATTTGTCTCCTGTTACAGTTTTTGGCATAAAGTATATTTTGTCTAATTATAGCTCTTGGTTTCCATTATCCATCCCTTTACTTTGAGCTTATGTGTATACTTAACCCTGAAGTGAATCTCTGGAGGACAGCGTATCATGGGGTTTTGTTTGTATCCACTCAGTTGTTCTATGTCTTTTTATTGGTGAATTTAATTCATTTACATAAAAGTAATTTTTGATAAATAAGGGCTTACTGTTACCATCTTATTAATTTGTAGTTTTGTAGTTTTGTAGTTTCTTTCTTCCTCTTTTTATGTATTTCTTTGTGATATGATAATTTTCTGTAGTGTTATGTTTTAATACTACAGAATGTTATTCTTTTTATCTTTTGTATATCTATGTTAAGTTTGCTTTGTGATTACCATGAGGCTTACATAAAATATCTTATAGTTATAACAGTCTATTTTTTTCTTAAATTCTCACCTGAGGATATTTTTCTATTTATCTTCAAATAGAGTGGGAGGGAGGGAGAGTGGAAGAGAGAGAGAAAAACATTGATGTGAGAGAGACACATCAACTGGTTGCCTCCTGCATGACCCCGACCAGGGCCGGGGATGAACCACAACTGAGGTATGTGTTCTTGGCCGGAATCAAACCCTAGACTCATTGGTCTGAAGGCCAATGCTCTAACCACTGAGCCAAACTGGCTAGGGCATGACAATCTATTTTTAAGCGTATAACAACTTAACTTTGCACACAGAAACTCTACCTTTTTACTCTCTTTTCGCCACATCTGTTTTTTTTATATCAGAGTTTACATGTTTTTGTATTGAGTATCCATTAAGAAATTATTGTAGCTATCTTATTTTAATATTTTTGTCTTTAAACCTTTATATTAGAGTTAAGCAATTTATATACCACCATCACAGTATTAGAGTATTCTGAATTTGACTATATATTTACCTTTACCAGTGAGTTTCATATTTTTATGTTTTCAGGTACTAATTATTGTCCTTTCATTTCATTTTGGAGAACTTGCGTTAGCATTTCTTGTAAGTCTGACCTAGTGGTAATGAACTCCTTGAGCTTTTGCTTGTTTGGAGAATTATTTTCCCTTCATTTCTGAAGGACAGCTTTGCCAGATTAAGTATGTTTGGTTGGCATTTTTTCTCTTTCAGCCCTTTGATATGTCATCTAACTCTCTCCTGACCTGCAAAGTTCTGCTAAAAAAATTTGATGATTGCCTTATGTGTGTGGGGGGAGATATGTATGGGAGGAATTTTTCTACAGACTGAGTAGCACATGAAAGGAAACAGAAACTGACACGCTATCTTTTCTCCCAGTGCCTTCCCTTTGGCCGACTTGCTTATCTGCTTGCTGGAGCATCCACCTAGTCTTCAGTGTCCACTGCATGGAGACTTGTTTTAATAACACCATAAGCACAACTTAAGTTGTACATCTTGCACTAGCTTCTGTCTAAAGAGAAAAAGTCAAGGTTTCATTGGTAGTTAGAAAAACCCATTTCTGATCGCGTGTAAAAAACTTTACTCCTTTATCCTGATACTTGTCTTGAATAGCATAGTATCTTCCATCGGGCCTGGTCTGCAGGTGTTTGTGGTAGTGGATGTTCTAATCTCTGCCTTTGATAGCCAGTAATTCTTTAGTATTATTTAGTCCTGTAAGTGAACATTAAGCTCTGTGTGGCAGCTACCGAACACAAAATCCTAAATGTCACCACTGCCTTCAAGGATTTCACTATCCAAAGGGGGAAATAGGCACAAAGTAAACTAAAATGTAATGTGTAAGGGCTACTGAGGTGGTGTGATCACAGAGCATGTATCACTCCACCCTCGAGGAGTGTGTGTTTATGTTTCTAACATCCTGGTAGCTTTACCACTCTTAAAATGTTTGTGTCGTGGTTCACGGTTGATACTCGTTTTAGAAATTAGCTGTGTTGAGTTAACTGGCTTTGGTTAATGTTTTCAGGGAGAGACACGATCTCACCTTCATTTTATCCCAAAGAACACATTCACGAGGTAGTTTGTCAAGAGTAGCAGCAGCAGTTTTTGCACAGGATCTGAGCTGTGTGTGTTGAGGGCATGCAGAGTTATAAAGCACAGTTCCTCCTTGGAAAGGCACAGTTTTCTGGGGGAAGTAACAATTAGAGAGAGGACAAATACAACGCAGAAGCAACTAAAATTTCTGCAGAGTTCTACAGTTTTTAATGTGCCTTTACATTTATTCTTTATGATAAACCTGTTGGGCAGGTTATTGGAAATACTCATTTTATGAATAAGGCCAGAGGCAGCATTGGAAGCCACCTGACTTTAATCTACAGCTCCTCTCCCCTGACTCAGTAACAACTGCGTAGCTCATGTGAAAATCAGGGACAAAATCTTCATGAGCCCTGTCCAGAAACCATAGGGTGGACATTAGGATTTGGAGTGCAGTGAAGGAACAGAGTTGGGGCTGGGCCAAGACCAATGCTGAGCAAAGAGCAAAAATATGAAAGTCTGAGTTGAGAAAAACCCAAGAAGTAGGACCCAAAGGGAAATTTGAGGCAAAGGCTGTTAGAGATTTTGTGAAGAGACAGAGTAGGAAACCTGGGAATTTGCGAGGGCAGCCTTCAGCCCAGCCCCCTTGTGAAGTCTCTTTTGAAGGCTGGTGCCTTCCCTGCTGGTCTTCTAGGCACATAACACTCTGACTCTAAATTGTACAGGATTAGTAAGGTGTAAGGATGTTCATTTGTATTTTGCATGAATTACACAGTCATATGTTAAGATTGATGTATGGCTGGTCCTATTTCATATATTTTTAAAATACATTTTTATTGATTTCTTAGAGAGAGAGAAGAAGGGAAAAAGAGAGAGCAACATTGATGTGAGAGAGACATCAGTTGACCAGCTCCTGCACGCCCCCTACTGGGGATCAAGCCCACAACCCGGGCAGGTGTCCTGACCAGGAATCAAATGGGGACCTCTCATTCCTTGGGACAGTGCTCACTCCCTTGAGCTACACCAGCTGGGCCTATTTTGTATGTTTTATTTCCAAGATTTATATTTCAGAACCTTACTTTATGAACTTTGTATGTTGATGAAATGTTCTATATCCGCCACATTTCAAGTACTCAGTAGCCACATGGGGCTAGTGGTTACCATGTTGGACAGAATGGGAAACATAAATTCTTACTTTTTTTAAATGTATTTTTAAACACATGAAGATATAAAAATATTCAATGTTTAGCAAGTAAAAAACGAGAAGTAAAAGTGTCTTTTCTATCTTTCTCTCGACCTCTCTCTCTTTCTCCAGTGGTATTCACTATTAAAACTCTTGTTTCCTTTCAGGAAAAAAAAAGTATGCCCATCAAAATTATATACGTATATGCTTTTTATAAATCTCAAAAATTGATTATACTAGGTATTCTGTTTTACATCATTTTTAAAAACTAAAATTCTGTCTTTTATATCTTGATGCAGCAATACAATTAGCTCTAACTCCCTGTTTTAAAGGTTTCTTTGTTTGGAAGTGGAATCTATTCATTTCATATTCTAGGCGTTTACGTTGTCCCTCCCCCCCCCCGCCCCCTTTTTTTTGCTATTCAAATAGTGCTATTGTGTGTGTGTGTGTGTGTGTGTGCGTGTGCCTCTCCATTGTTTTGCATGTTTGTAAGGAAGATTCCAAGCAGTGCAATTGCTGGGTGGTTTCTAAGCAAGAGGGGAGCAGAGAATCTGGTTTGAGGGTAGGGCATAAACAATCAAGACTGGTAGAAAAGGGAACCAGAGATAAAATAAAGGTAAAGAAGCTCTGGCTGTGAGACAAGATGATAAATATTTATATCAATAGTCATAAGGGTGGCCTTTAAGTTTATTCAGTACCATCCCTCCTGGGAGTACTTAAGAAAGTGTTAAATGTCAATGTATTTTATATATAAAACTGTGGTTATGTTTAGTTTTATTATAAAGAGATTGCATATTTATTACATATAGGTTGGAAAATATAAGAAAGTGTAAAGCAGAAAAAAAATTTCACCCATACTCAGAGAAAACCAGCATTAATACTTTAATCTCTTATTTCTGTTTATTGGTTTTACATAGCTGAGATCATATTGTACATACATGTGTTTATAACTAAACTTTCCTTTGCTGATCAGTTTAATCTTGTTGATTTTCTTTTACTACTCTTTGCCTGCTTTGTTTTTTTAGGTAATAGAAATCTAACATTGTTTTGGAATGAATTTGGATACCAGAATAACAAGGACACTGAGAGGTCTTTAGATTCTATGCAGTATCAAAGACGACAAGCTATGGCCATCCCATTCATCATTCAGTGTGGTGAGTGTTGAATTCCATTCTAATTAGCAATTATTTAGTGAGTTTCTAAATATGCAAGTCATTGTGTTAATAAATGGGGTGAGGGAGACAAAGGTGATCGGTAAAACCTGATTCTTGTAGTGATGTTACGATCTAGGAGGGAGGTTAAGATAAGTATGAAACTAATTATAATAGAGATAAAATTCAGATAAATGATGTAAAAGAGACACAGTTTTTTGAGGGTTCAAAGGCAAAGAGGAGGACGTTGAGGCAAGGCTTTATGACAGAGGTAGCCTTTGCCATGATATTTAAAGCAGAATTTTGATTGGTAGAGATATAGCAGGAGATATGTGTTAATATCAGGTATACATTCAACTGAAATTTTAGGGTGGAATAATAGAAGTAGTCATCTTTCTATTTGTAATACTTAGCACTATGTTAACTATATAGTTGGCACTTCATAGTTGACTACTAAATAAATAATAAATAATTTAAAGAATCAGGTTGAATAAACATGTTAGAGGGCCTTGAATGGTAGGATAAGGAGTTTTTATTTTGATAAGCAATGGAGAGGCATTGGATATTATTCAGTAGGAGAATGGCATCATTGAAGCATGGAGCACTTATTGTGTTCATTTGATACATCTTCTAGCCATTATTCGAAGGGTTAGAGAATTAAAGATACTGTGTTCTATCTGCAAGGAATCTGCTATTTAGCAAGAGAGCCAGACAAATAAAAAAACACACTATAGTATGCAAAACATTGTAGTTATTTACACAGTGCCAAGCGAACACCTTCTTAACCTTGAGCCTGGGGTGGTCCAAAGAGGACCTGACTGGTCAGATGTGTACAAGGTATTGACAGAATCTAATCTCCAGTATGACAGAGCTATATGAAATTGGGTAAATACCTTAATTTCTCTAAGCCTCAGTTTCCTAATTTATAGCATCAGTTTAGTGTTTATAACTACATCATACAATTTTTTGCAAATAAAATATATTATCACATGTAAAGTTTACTAAGTACTTAGGATGGTGTATTAGGGTTCTCCAGAGAAACAGAACCAACAGAATGGATGGATGATAGATAGATGATAGATAGATAGATGATAGATAGATAGATAGATAGATAGATAGATAGATAGATAGACATTAATTATAGAGAAATGGTTCACATGATTATGGAAGTTAACAAGTCCTAAGATCTTCAGTCAGAAAGCTGGAGACCCAGGAGAGCCATTGGTTTAATTCCAGCTTGAATCTGAAGGCCTGAGAACCAAGAGACTCAGTGATATAGTTCTAGTCTCAATACCCAGGAAGAAGTAATGCTTTAATTTGAGTCTGAAGGCAGGAAAATGCTAATGTCCCAACTCAAGACAGTCAAGAAGGAGAGGTTCCTTTTTACTCTCGAGAGGGTCAGTCTTTTCTGTTTTATTTAGGCCTTCAACTGATTGGGCGAAGCCCACCCACATTAGGGAGGATGATCTGCTTTACTCAGTCAACCAATTCAAATGTTAACTCATTCAAAACACCCTCACAGACACTCAGAATAATGTTTGACCAACTATCTGGGTACTCCATAGCCCGGTCAAATTGACATAAAATTAACCATTATAGATAATGTCTAGCAATGTTGGCTTTTGTCATTATTACCATGTATGTTAACCCTCACTAGCCTTTTAGGTAAGTACTAATAGTAATTTCTTATTACAGATGATGATACTGAAACATAGGGACATAATTTGTCCAAGACCATAGAAATAATAAGTGGTGGAGCTTTTCAGGTTCTTAACCACTGTGCAAACTGCCTCCATCTAAGGTGAACAGAGAGAAGTGTTTACCTGAGTGCCATTAGCAGGGCGTCTGGAAGGAATTCAGGATTAAAGTTAAGAATAGCCTGGAGAGAGAGGAGGACCTTGGTCCTAAAAGCAAGGAGGGACTGAAAGGGAGAAACGGGTAACAAAGTCCAAGAAAGTGGAATATTCAAGTCTTCATGTGGTAGAGAGAGATTTATTACTTAAAATTTTTTTGGCTGAAAGCAGCAGAAACCAACTGGAAGATCTTAAACAATCATCATCATCATCATCACCCCCCATTGGTAGTATCCTAGGTTAGCTCATAGAATCCTAGACTAGTTGTGCCGTCAAGTATAATGATATACAATCAATGATTCACTTGCGTTTGCCCCAAAAGATACCTCATACCTTACATCTTACGATGATGGATTTACTTCTGACTGTGGTCTTTCTTGTGTGTGATTTTGTTTTGATGACCAGATCTTTGCCTTAAATGGAGAGTCTTGCCTCCCTCTGTTAATTATCAGGAAAAAGAACTTCTGGACATCTGGATTTGTGCTAATAATTCTAACCTCTCGGAAAACAGGTAGATTTTGGTAATTTTCTAAAATTCTTTATCCATTTTTAATTCCTAAAATGCATATGTATGAAACTGGAAAATGTCAGATACCTTTTAGCTGAGTAGCTGTCATCCCCTAGAACTCTTTTTAGCACCTTGCCACTTGTGGAGAGACACTTCACTAGTGTGCTTTTTCATCAAGACGAAAGAGACCTGGACGTAATGATTTGCAAACAGTGGGCATACCGCTCTGCACCTACACTGGCGGGAGACTACCACCGGTATTTAAGAGATCTGCCTTTCCGTTCCTTTTCACACAACACAGCGTCTTATCATACAGGAGTTTTATGCGGATGGTGTCTCCAAGGGACTAACTCTAGGATCATGTGCTTTTTCTATATTGATTTCATTGCTTTGTGCTCTTGGAGGAAGAAGTTCAGACTAAAACAGGAAAAAGACCAATTAAATAGTGATGAATGTCAGTGTTATTACAAACCATTTTAGACTTATGTTCTTTTTCTTGGGGGAGGTGAAATCGTTAGTATACCTCTTTAATAAAGGCCACCCCTAAGTCAAGCATTGCTGTTCCATAGAGTTTGCTCTAAGTCCTTTTGCCTGGCTAAGTCAATCAATATTGCTAATACAGACAATAGGGTAATAGCTCTTGTTGGATTATTTTTATCCAGTCTTGAAAAAAGGGGAGCAAATAAAAAAATTTAAAAGAAGAAAACCTTCAGAAAGTGCCACTAAAATCCTGTCCACCTGGAGTCCCCAGGTTAATCATATTTAGAAACTAAGAAAGAATGTCGGAGATGACATGATCCAGGGGTTTTACCAGTTTCCCTTTCTGGGTTGCAGCGGAACTTGTTTTGTTCCCCTCCACCCCAAATAAAATCTGCTTCAGACCCAAACTATATGAAACAGATAAATACAGAGCTGTCCTGATTTGAATTGTAAGTTGGGAATCTGGGGACCAAAGGTATCCATCCACTTCACGCTTCTGTTCCCCACTCTCTGCAGACAGCCTGGGGCTCCAGGGAGCATGTTTATAAAACACTGGTCTAGTCGAACTTATTCACTTTAGAGGTGTGAAAAATGAACCCCAAATGGGGGCTAAGAAACCTGCTCATGCCCTGGCCAGTTTGGCTCAGCGGTTGGAGCGTCGGCCTGCGGTCTGGAGAGACCCGGGTTTGGTTCCCGCTAGGGGCACGTACTTCGGTTGCAGTTTGTCCCTGGCCCTGGTTGGTCGTGCGGGTGGCAGCCACTCGATGTGTCCCTTCACGTCGATGTTTCTCTCTCTCTCTCCCTTCCTCTCTTTCCCTCCCACTCTATCTGTACAAAAAATGGAAAAATATCCTCAGGTGAGGATAAAAAAATAAATAAATAAAAAGAAACCTGCTCATGAAACCACTAGCCAAGGTCTTTTGATTCCTAACCTGATTTCAGCCCTAACTTGGAACTTCAGCATCTCCCAGATAGAAATGAAGTGTTGGCTTAGTTTCAGTATTAACAGTCTGATAATGGAGTGTTTTCACTTTCAGTGTCATTATTTTTATCGAAATGGTATTTAATAGAAGATTTTTTTGTTGTTGTTTTTTAATTCCAGTCTGTGTGGAAAGACCTGTGCTTGAAAATGTAAACAAAATTGGCCCAAGCCCCCAACCCTCAAAAAAAAAAAAAGGAATAGTTAATAACGTCGATCACTTATTGTGAGCATAGGATAGTGTTTTAGTGTTCAGACTCTAGAACCAGACTGTCTGGGTTTGACTCCTAGCTCCCTTAGCTGTGCATCCTTGGACCAGTGTCCAATCTCTTTTTAACTCAGCTTCCCATCACCTAGCATGGGGTGTAATAACAGTAGCTTTGCATCTTTTCTGGTTCTAGTTGAACCCCTTGTAAGGTCAACCTGCTATGTCCCTGGTCCCTGGGGACCTCTTGATAACAAGCCATGAGAATATTGGCTCCTGTCCTCAGATCTAACCATAGAACTGCCAATCTGTCCTCTACATTTCTCTTTTAAAAGTGGTGACACCGCCCACCACAGAGCACTGTTCCAAAGCTGCATCTATTCTGTCTCCTGCACATCAAAGCAGTGCCACTTGTGAAGACAGGGAAGAGCCATGTAGCCTTGTTGACAGAAAACTGGTGGACCGTAAAGGCCTACAGTGCAAAAAGTCCTTTCTTACTTATCATTTCTTCATAAGTCCTTGACTCTTTAAATATATGGACATAATTTTGACCACCTGTATTTTATTTTCACTGAAAAGATTATGAAAAAAAATATGCTTAATTTAAAGTGACAGCAAGAGATTTAGAGGAGATGTAAAGAAAGAATTTCTGATTTCAAAGGCAGTTACATAAGAGTTGACGCTTTTTGTATGGGAGATCATTGACAGCAAGTAGAAATGGTGATTTCCTGGGGAGAGAAACTGATGTGACGACCTCACTCAGTCCTCTGATTCAGTGTGGTAGGATGGGCCGTGCAGACTTTGAGAATGCATGTCATAGATTATTGTTGGACAAAACCCTAATATGTGGGCCACTGATTTGGATAGAACCACATAAAGTGGGTGTGTTGAAGTGACGAGAAGTGGAGTCTAGTTATTTATTAGGCAACATTTGATGAATGGAAGGACAGTGTAATGGGGAGAGAAGTGGCGTTGTCTGTATATACAGAAAATATAGTTTATTGTCAGTAGTTAATTGCTGAGCAACAGGATTAATGCCAGTGAACAGCATTTGAATAAACAATGTGTGACCAGAACTTGAGGAGGAAACCTAATAGCAGCTCTTGTTTACAAAGCAATAACACATGTTATCTCATTTCATCTGTACAACAACCCCGTGAACTTTCTGTGCCTCTCCGAAGAGAAAACAGTGAAGCTAGGAGAGGTCCAGTGACGTGCCAGGATGCCTCCCTAGAGCTGAGACTTGAAGCCAAGCATTTTCAGGCAAAACCTGTATTCTTCCCTCCTGATCATGCCCTCTCTCTGAAGGCATCCTTCACATTTGAGAAAGCCTAATCCCAGCCTCGTACGTTATGGTGACACAGTACATCACTTTACAAATGGTAGCGTCAGAGTAGTGGCTCAGGCAGGGTAGAGTGGAGCCACTGTTTCAGACCACTGAAGCCTCTTTTGGTTCTCACTTTAAGTGCAGAGGCAGGTGAGACATTTTTGTCACAGTACCCAAGAAATAGATACATTCGTGCTGCGTACTTATCTGCATTGCAAACAGGGATCACCAGCAGAGTAAAAATGATGACTATCATTTGACGGAACCCAAAAGTCTGAATTTTGAAAAGGATGTTAAAAAATATCCATGGATTGAATTGTGTATTAAATTCATTTTGTTTCCAAAACTCTTTGAAGACAATTGAGTGGATTGCACTTTAATAAAATACTTGTGGTTTCTCTTTTCTGAATAAAAATGTAATGCTGCCACAAAGTTCTTTTCTCCCATGAAATTGAAAAGGTATAGGTACCGCCCCACAGGTGTCTCCACTTCCACATCGCAGGTGGCTACATATATAGTTGGTGTCCCCTGATTTGTTTATCTACCACCTTTCCTTGAAAATGAGAGCAACAACAAATGCCATATGTGGGTGGAATTGTGTGTATTTTTTATTTTATTTATTTATTTTTTATCCTCACCCAAGGACATTTTCCCATTTTTTTGTTCAGGTAGAGTGGGAGGGAGAGAGAGGAACACAGAGAGAGAGAGAAACATCGATGTGAAAGGAACACATCGAGTGGCTGCCACCCGCACGACCGACCAGGGCCGGGGACAAACTGCAACCGAGGTACATGCCCTTAGCGGGAACTGAACCCGGGTCTCTCCGGTCCGCAGGCCGACGCTCTAACCTCTGAGCCAAACCGGCCAGGGCTGTATTTTTTATTTTTTACAGTAGCACTTGAATTTGATTGTGGTTCTTCTCTGTTGGTGGGGGCAAGAAAACTAGAAGCTGCATCTCCCCAGAGAAATTGTGGGTTTGATCTGCTTCATTTTCCTCACACTGTTTCAGATGGGAGAAGGCCCTGTCTCTATTCTCAACCTCCCCCTCCCTCTCCGGGTCTGATGCACATTTATTTTGTCCCTCCCACCTCCTTTTGGTCCCTACCTAAAGAAAAACCCCTGTGTAAAAGCAGGCTCTAAGTATTGACCTTAACCACACATTCCCAGCCATGAATCAAAGCCATGCCCAGTGGAAGTTGAACCTCTTATTCTTGCCGAGCCTTGATACCAAGGTGAACAATAGAATCTCTCCATTTTTCAGCAGTTTGGCTAACTCAGCTCCCAGAACATAGCCACAAAACCAAAAGTAGGGGAAATAAGACTTCAAACCTTTCAAATTATGTGTCCCAAAAGTCATTAGTATTTTTTGTAGGCATGACAAGGGAAGCCCTCACTCACAGCCTGTTTATTGTCACTTACCCACAATTCTGCTTGATGATATAATGCGTGTGAACCCACAGAGATTAGAGACAGCACATCACAGAGCTTGGGAAGCAGAGTGATTTCCAGAAGCAGATACGCTGACAACAGCAGGAGAGAAGAATGTTCAACAAAGGAATGCCATGGGGGAGGGGGGTATTTGATGAAGGGCTCTACTACATCAGTGAGTACATCCCATCACAGCAGTTACCCATCTTCACAGTCATCATACGAAGGACCCATGTGCTTCAGAAGCAGAATTCTTTGGGTGTATTGTGGACAGACAGATGAATTTCTCTCCCTAATGATTTGGGGGAAAATGTTTAACAGCAATAAGATAAGCTTTAATTATCTAAAAACACTTTTGCAAAAGGCCTCATTTTATGATAATGGGAGATAAATGAAGCATTAGTAAGTAATGAACACTCTCATTCTGGTAAATAAATACTACCTTTCACATTTTCCATTAAGCTCTTTTTTTTTTCCATTAAGCTCTTTTTCATGCAAATTGGAGATTTAAGGTCATGTATTATCTAAAGTCATCAACACCATGCTCCTCCCTTATATTCAGATTTTAGATATAAGACGTAAAGAGTAAGTCCTTGTAGAAGTAAATAATCTTTTACCGATAGGAAACAGTTTTATGCTTCCTCCTGATGTTATTATCTCTTGGGCTTGTTGATTGCAAAGTTGTCATCAGGCGGAACACTTACCGTCTATCCCCCTGGGCACCATGAGCACAGTATCACCATCAAAAAATGAGAAAGAGAAGCGACTTCAGGAGTCAGTCCGAAGGTATCAGAATCAGCTGGCAGAGTGGCAGCCGCAGGTAAGCAGTTACGAGTTCTTTCCAAAATCTACCCTGACGCTCGAGTGTTTGGTTTCACGTGTGCAAATTGACTGCTGTGGTCTATTTACCCAGGTAAAATGTGCAGCCTCTTTTTCCCATTCTCTTTTGTCACCCCCTTTAAATTTGGGGTTGAGGACTGTTTTAGAGGTGAGCACAAGTGCTCCAGGGATCCAGACAGGAAGAAGAGTGCTTTAAAAACTCTATACATGTGAGAGCTAAGTCAAACTACACTGCAGTGCATGTGAGGAATGGGGGCGTTTCTTTCCATCCCACGAATGCACGCAGAGCCTCGGAGAGGTCAGCCAGCATGTCCATCATCACGTGGTCCACACTGGGACATGGGTCCGTACAACTCCAAAGGTTAGGCTGTTTTTAATTTATTAAGCTTCTTCCTTAAGGACGGATTTTTTAGGTAAAGAGTTGTTCTTTTAAGAAATATTAGCCTGTTCATACAGAAACTCAGAATCATATTTAATTGTTAAGAAAATTCAATGAATAAAATATGACTATCTGTACATGTAGGTAACCATGACAATTTCAAGTGAAGGAAAATTTGCAGAAATACTGTTTTAATCTCTGCTCTAATGAAGTCATAAGATCTCTGTTTCCTTTATGGATTTAGCAACCAAATTCAACAATTTTTAATAGTATGGCATGTCAACTTTCTCAAATAGAACTTGAGAAGGTCAAATGTGTGACCCCCTTTGGATGTCAGGACATAAATTTCTCATTCAAAGAGAAAAATTTTGCAGAAAGGGATTTAAGACCCTTTAGACTGGATGCCTTATTATAATGTATATTCCTGGGCTCTTAGAAGAGAAATTTTCTTTTTTTTTTTAATATTGAAAGTATTACAGATGTCCCCCTTTTTTTCCCCAATGACCCCTTCCTTCCTGCCCCCACTCTATCTCCTGCCTTCCAGAGCTTAGTGTCCATGTTCATTGGTTGTACATATATGCATAAGTTCTTGGGTTTATCTCTTCTTTTCCCTCCCCTCCCACTCTGTCCCTCTGAGGTTTGTCAGTCTATTCCCTACTTCTATGATTCTGGATCTCTTTTGGTTCACAGGTTATTTTGTTCATTATGTTCCACAAATAAGTGAGATCATGTGATACTTGTCTTTCTCTGGCTGACTTATTTTGCTTAGCATAATACTCTCCAGGTCCCTCCATGTTGTCCCAAAGGGTGAGGGATCTCTCTTTTTTTTATAGCTGCATAGTATTCCATTGTGTATATGTACCACAGCTTTTTAATCCACTCATCTACTGATGGACATTTGGGCTGTTTCCCCATCTTAGCTATTGTAAATAGTGCTGCTGTGAACATAGGGGTACATATATTCTTTCTGACTGGTGTTTAAGGCTTCTTAGGGTATATTCCTAGAAGTGGGATCATGGGATCACTGGGTCAAATGGAAGTTCAATTTTTAATTTTTTGAGGTGACACCATATTGTTTTCCGTAGTGGCTGCACCAGTCTGCATTCCCACCAGCAGTGTACTAGAGTCCCCTTTTCTGCACACCCTCGACAACACTTGTTGTTTGATGATTTGTTGATGGCTGCCATTCTGGCAGGTGTGAGGTGATATCTCATAGTCGTTTTAATTTAAACTTCCTTTTCTACCCCAGTTTCTGTTTTCTTTTCTCTCCCACCTTGCTAGGGATCTGCCATGCAAATCAGCTACCTACTGGGTTCACAGCCAAAGAACTCCTTGTCCCCCCCTTTAGCGTGGAATCTCTGGGTTTCTATAGGGAAGCTACTGAGAGTCACCTTGGGAACACATTCTCCTGTGCAGTCCCCATCTCTCTACAAGTGGCTCAGCTTTCTACAGTTTTAGAGCCTCTAGTCGTGGCTTGATAACAGGTCAGAAGTAAAGAAAGGTATCACAGCCTGTGGGTATTTTCATAAACAATTAGGTGAAGTGGATTTTTCCAATGTGGAATGTCTTAATTTGTTCTGTTTCTTATTTTGTTTACCACTCCTGGGGACTCTGTAAAGGCATTCAGCATACCCTGAGTTGATTTTATGTTTGTTGGAATTTTTTTTTCCCCTATGAAGGCCAGAGCTGGCCCTTAGAAGTACTAGTGCCCATCATGAAGTCTTAATTACTTTTATGTTTGTTTAGAATTGGATGTTGTATTCATTAGTGAGGTAGAGATTTTGATGGCTGCTGATGGAATAACAGATTTGGGCCATCCATTCTGTTTATTCTTTCTTTCTTGGTAGTTGACTTTTTCATTAAAGTTGAGCCAGGTTTATAGATTCAGTCTGTTTCAAATATTAACAGACAAGTTCAGCAGCACTCAGATGGAAACCTACTTCCACTAAGGCAAAGGAAATAGATTCCTCACCATCCTCCTTGCCCTCTTCTGTGAAAATAAGCCTAGCATCTCAATATCAGACGCATGCCACCCAGTTATGGTCTGCCCACCTCCACTTCTCTCGTCCTGCTTCCCACTGCCAGTGGCACTATGCATTGATCAGACCTGTGGAGCAAGTGTAAAAATGACCTAAATTTGCACAGCCCATTTCTTACTGTCTTATGTTTCAACTTCAATGTCAGAAGGCATCCCGATTTTTTTTTTTTATCCTCACCCGAGGACATTCTTGCATTTATCTTCAGATAGAGCGGGAGGGAGAGAGGGAGGAAGAGAGAGAGAGAAACCTCGATGTGAGAGAGACACATTGAGTGGCTGCCACCCACATGACCCCAACCTAGGCCAGGGACAAACCGCAACCAAGGTACATGCCCTTAGCGGGAACCGAACCCAGGACTCTCCGGTCTGCAGGCCGACGCTCTAACTGCTGAGCCAAACTGGCCAGGGCAGGCATCCCAATTTTAAAAAATGAAGAGTTGGCTAGGTAAATCAAAGACTGTTCTGGATCTTAGATTCTGTGGTTCTGGGCTTTTGTCACTAACAGCCAGGAGGAATAGATTAATGGCAAGGTAGATTATGGTAATAATATCAGGAATCAGCAGCTGCAGCCTTTTTTCCACCCCTCATACCCCACTGGTGTATAGAGTGACTAAGTCTACTAAGAGTACCACCCACAGGACACCCTAGTTAGAGAACACTCATAGTGAGGTAGAAAAGTATTCTGATAAAAGAGGCAATCCAATGATTGGATCTGTTCCCCTAGAAGAAAATGAGGTCTCTGGGTCCAGAACTGTCATCTCAATGGATGGCATCTTATAAAATCCCTGCCCAGCCCTGGCCGGTCTGACTCAGCAGTTAGGGCGTTGGCCCACAGACCAGAGAGTCCCTGGTTTGGTTCCCGCTAAGGGCATGTACCTCGGTTGCAGTTTGTCCCTGCCCCAATTGGGGTCTTGTGCGTGGCAACCACTCGAAGTGTCTTTCTCACGTTGATGTTTCTCTCTCTCTCTCCCTCCATGTTTCCCTCCCGTTCTATCTGAAGATAAATGCAACAATGTCCTTGGGTGAGGATAAAATAAAATAAAATCCCCACTCATTTTGCTAGTTACATCAGTTATAACAACAGAGGGAAATGAAGTTCAAAGAAGTTGAATAACTTGAATCAAGTCACATAATTATTTTATTTTTTTATTAATCCTCATTTGAGGATATTTTTTTCCATTGATTTTTAGGGTGACTTGGAAGGGACGAAGGGAGAGAGAGAAAGAGAGAAACATCGATTGATATGAGAGAGACATATCAATTGGTTGCCTCCTGCACACACCCCGACTGGGGCCAAGGATGAACCTGCAACCCAGGTACATGCCCTTGACCAGAATCGAACCACTGAGCCACATCAGCCAGGGCAAGTCATACATCTTTAATTGGCGAAGTTGGAATTTGTTTTCTTTTTGTTTCATTCTAGCACTGACCTCATAACCTCACAGGGTAAATACAGACAAAAAGGACCTTTACTAAGACAACAGACTGATGTATTGTGAATCACATTTGTTGAAGGAAATACGTAGGTTTTCCTTAATAAACCTAAAAGGAGAGCTCAGATTCAAGATGTAATTGATAAGCTGTGTCAGCACGCCAAGACCCTGTTTATAACCTGTGCTTCTGAAACAGTCCATTCCACTTTCTTCTTTCTGAGTCAGTGAAGGAGTAATCTGGCCCCAGCCACAAGTTTCCAGCTCACTCAGCACTTGCTGTTTTCTATACTGAGTGACAAGTGCCACCTGCTGGCCAAATGATGAAGAATTTTCATTTTCACTCTGTCTCCTGACTTGCTCAGCTAACTAGTTGGCATAACATCTGGATAATTGTTATTCTGTTTTTCACTGAACCCAGACCACAATTTAAAACCATAAAGCAGAGTTACAGACTCAGTTTCTCTGAAGCTGAGGACTTTCCCATCCTCAATTTTTCCCCTTTCTTAGTTTTAACTCACAATTTGGATTCTCATCCACCTACTCTATGGCCAGGATGACTGTGTCATGATCAGGCACAAGAAATATAGTCTGGGATACATTTTATTCAGGGTTCTGGGGTATCATTTTAAATCCACTTTGTGCTTTCAATCATTATAAGACAGGTAAAACTTAATTTCCTGAATGAAGCCTACTCTACATTTACTTATTTGCACATAAGTAATGTTAATTAGTAGTATGTTTATATAATCAATTTATTTGTGTAAATGGTCTATATTGGTTATGTACTCTCTAGGTCTTTCTGGGTTCATCTTTTCTGATCAATATTAATTTCTTGTCCTACGATAGGTCCAGGCTCTCTCTTATCTGACACTAGTTACGTTTCTGGGATTAGTTTCTTCCCTCCTTAGGTTCTCCACTGAGTGGCTCCGGGCTCCTCTCAGGAGTTCCCCACTCCCATGCTGCTGAGGGCCTTTCTCCCTGCCCCAAGTTTTATCTCAAGTGGCTTCTGCCCCTCCCCCTTATCCTTCAGGGTCTGAGACTAATGTTGTTCCTGGATGAAGTCATCTCTCATTTCCCTTTGTCCTTGAGTCGTGTTTCTCTTCAAGCATGTTTTACTTTCTACCTGATAT